CCTATAAAACCTCACAACCCTGCCTCCAGCAAGACTCCACTTCCTACAAGTTTCGTAACCTTCCCAAATAGCACTGCTACTGGGAACCAAGTGTTCAAGTACAGGAACCTTTGGGGGACATTCCACATTCTTTTTAAAAATTATATTTTATTTTATTGTTTTGGTCTTTTTGAGGTAGGGTCTCCTTGTAGCCCCGGCTAGCCTGGAACTCACTGTATACACCAGGCTGGCTTCCAGCTCACAGAGATCTGCCTGCTTCTGCCTCCTGAGTGCTGGGATTAAAGGTGAGTGCCATAACACCCGGCTGGCTGTCTTTTTACTCAGGGAACTGTCTCTGTACCCTGTGGCATAGGACTCTCTGTCTATAGTAAATGAACAAGGAATGTTAAGAGCAGTTACTGTAAAATGAAGCATAAGTAAACATGGTCTTATGATAGAAAAGTGTGGGGCAGCCAGGCTTATGCCTTTAATCCTAGCGCTCAGGAGGCAGAGGCAGGCAGATCTCAGAACATTTGAGTCCAACCTGCTCTACATAGAGAGTTAAAGGCCAGCTAGGGCTACATAGTGAGATTCTGTCTCAAAAAAGCCCCAAAGAATGGATCACAGTTAAGCAGAAGGCAGCAGGTGCTGGAACCCTGCACCCACTTGGAAAGAGAGCATGACATTTTCTTAACACATTTCCCTGAATGTTTGTCATAGGACCTGGTAGCAGTCATACTCCTTAGTGTTTACCCAAGGGAACTCAAGAATGATGACCACACATAAGTCTATGCATGGCTGTTCATAGCTCCTTTATTCAAAATTACTAAAACTTGGGTGCAGCCAGTATGCCCTTCTGTGGACAAAGGAGTAAACAAACTGCAGCACATGCAACGAACTATTATTGCTCACTAAAAAGAAATGGGCTACAAAGCCATGAAAAGTCATGGAAGAAACTTGAACGTGCACTATCAAATGAAAGCAGACTGTCTGAAAAGGCTGTAACATGACTCCAATTATATAATATTCTGTAAAAGGTAAAACCATAGAGACAGCGAAAAGATCAATTGTTGCCAAGGGTTGGGGTAGGGAGAGGGATGAACAGGTAGAGCCCAGAGGACTTTTAGGTCTCCTCTGTATGACACTAAAATGATAGGTCTATATTGTTACATACTTGTCAAAATCCATAAAATTCATGACACCACAGTGAGACAGATGTGAGCTCTGGACACTGGTAACAGTAATGGCCAATGTAGAGGCACTGATCATAGCAAAGGTTAATTACACTATTGGGGTGTTATAGTCAGTGAGGCTGTGCCTGTGTGGGGAGAGGGGTTATGTGGGAGTTCTCTGTACTTCATACTTAATTTTGTGGTGAACTTGTTCTAGAAAATAAAATTCTTTAATTAAAAAATTTGAACTTAAAAATGTATGAGTGTTTTGCATGTATGTTATTTATGTGCTCTCTGAATATATGGTACCTGTGGAGGCCAGCAGTTGGCATCAGATTCTCTGTAACTGGAGTTACAGATGGCTGTGAGTCATCAGATGGATGCTGATAACTAAGCCCAGGTTTTCTGTAAGAGCTTGTAAAGGCACTTGCCACTAAGCCTGGTGACCTGAGTCAGTCCCTGGGACTCACATAGTAGATGGAGAGAACCAACTCTCACTGGCTGTCCTTTGACCGACACATGAGTGCTGACACACACACACACACACACACACACACACACTAAATAAATAAATAAATAAATAAATAAATAAATAAATGTAAAAAAGGAAGAATGTACTGTTACTGCGCCTGTTGGTAGAGGCTTGAAATCTCAGCTACTTGGGAGGCTGATGTAGGAGGATTGCTAGTTCAAGGCCTTCCTGGGCTATAGATTGAGTTCAAGTCCAGTTGAGGCAATTTATGAAGAACTCAAGTGTCAGGTGTGGTGGCACACAGCTTTAATCCCAGTACTCAGGAAACAGAGGCAGGAGGATCTCTGAGACTGGGCCAGCATGGTCTCCCTAGTGAATTTCAGGCCAGTTGGGGCTAGAGGGAGACCCTGCCTTAAAAAAAAAAAACTTGTTTTAAAAAGGGGGTGGGATTAGGAATAAAGCTCAGTGTTAGAAGGCTTATCTGGCATGCCCAAGGCCCTAAATGCAATCCCTAATACCAAAGGGGCAAAAGAGCTGTTATTTAACATTTTTGGATTATTTTTATTTTATGTGTGAATGTTTTGCCTGCATGTAAGAGCACCACGTGTGTACGGTGCTCATGGAGGCCAGAAGAGGGTGTCAGATCCCTCTGGAACTGTAGTTATGGATGGTGGTCAGCTACCATGTGGGTGCTGGGAACCAAATCCAGGTCCTCTGCAAAAGCAGCCAGTGCTCTTAACCACTGAGCCATCTCTCCAGCCCCAAATAACTTATTTTTAAATGCAATTCAGATACTGTACATTTGAGAAAAAGGAATTTTGTATTTTAGCTTTTGTCTTCATCCATATTCTGTTGCTATAACGAAGCAACAGATAATTTATGAGGGAAAGAAGTTTTTACAGCTCACAGCTCTGGAGGCTGTGCAGTTCTGCTTTGCCTCTGGGAGGACTGGGTGCTCACACCATCAACTCATGGTGGGAAGCAGAAAGCCAAGTGGGTCCATTCCAAATTCAGAAGCAGCAAAACAGAATCAGCTTATGCCAACCCACTGTTATAATCCAATCCTTCAAGGGTGAAGACTCAAGTCCCAAGTCCTGTGAGGACTGGCATTATGTCCTCTTTATGGCGTAACCACATCTGGAAGGCCCCACCTCCTCAAACTAGCACAGTAAGATCAAATTTTTCAACATAAGTTTCTAAGAGGGCAAGACATTTAAACCATAGAGTTACAGACTGGAATGGGTATGAATGAAATAGTTTGAGGTTTTTGATTTGTATTAAAATAATTCAGTGTGGTACAGAGAAGCACATGAAGTAAGACTGGTCATAATAATGACCATTAATAAATAATGAGTCTTGAATCTGGCTGATGAGTATAGTGATGGTTAATGTTAACAACCAACTGGAAACAATTTACAATCACCCAGAAAGAGACTCTCAATGAGGGATTGTCTAGCTCAAGTTGGCCTGTGGACAGATCTGTGGGAGGCTGTCTTGATTATGTTAATTAAGGTGTGAAAACCTGCCCACTGTGGGTGACACCATCACCTAAGCAGAGGATCATGAACTATGCAGAAGGCAGAAAGCCCCTTGCTTGCATTAATTCATTGCTCTCTGCTCTTGGCTATGGACTCAATGTAACTGGCTGCTTCCAGCTCCTGCCACCTGACTTTCTTGCAATGATGGACTGTGATCCAGAGATAGTAGCCAAATAAACCCTTTCTTTCTTGAGTTACTTAAAATTTTTTTTATTACTTTTATGTATTTGAATGTATTGCCTGCATGTGTGTAAGTGCACCCATGTTGTGCAATGCTTGAAGAGGACAGAAGAGGGTGTTGGATCCCCCTGGAACTGGAGTTACAGATAGTTGTTAGCCGCCATGTGGATACTAGGAATAGAACCTGGGTCCTATGCAAGAGCAGCCAGTGCTCTTAACTGCTGAGCCATCTCTCCAGCCTCCACCTCTTGAGTTACTTTTATCAGCGTGTTTTATCACAACAACATGAAATGGAACGAAGACAAGCACCCAGGGATTTATTAAACTATTTCCTCTAGCTTTGTGTATGTTGGAATATTTGTATAATGCAAGTAAAAAAGAAAACTAATACCTATCTCATATGTATCCCTAGGTCTTTTACGTTCTGGGAATGGAATCTAATAAGCTTAACTAAAGCAGGTGAGAGAATAACAGATTAGCAAATTATTGCTGCACGAAACCATTTGCATTTTTAACTGGAATCTTCAGTGTCTCAATCTAAAGCAAATAACGTGTAATTTTCATTCATATTCCAGATCTAGTAGGGGAAACATTTGTTATTATCAGCTTGTTCCCCAACTCATCACCTCTGTATAACATTAGTCTTGATCCCTGACTCTTGGAGCACTTTTCATAATTTTCTATTCTTTTCCATTAGCATTTTGTAATGCCATAATATTGTGTATAAATGTGTTCGATTAAAATGTGTTCAATTTTGAAATTTCATTACTTTGCTGTGAGCTGATGGGGCATATCGAATCCATCCTGTTGACTATGGGAACTAATAGGGGTTCTGAGAGGTTAATTGGATTTGGTTAATTAATTCTTTCATTTATCCATATCTCCATACAAACAGGCATCATGTGTTGAGTATCTATTACAAATCTGGTGTGCTGCTGGGTTGAATGGTACAGAGATACCTAAACGGTACCTGAGTTGGGGGGGGCTCACACTTGGGGGTAGGAGTGTAGCCAGACAGGTTGCTAAAATAAATACAGCCTCATGGACACAGCATGACTCCTGGTTGGTCATTCAAATAAGCTGATTTCTCACGCACCTGATTAAGGACAGAATAAGAATCCAAGCCCAGGGACCAGCCCACCGCTCCAACACAACCCAATTTCTATGTAGTAATTTCACTTCTCTGTTCTGATCTTAGATCCAGTCTTCTTTGTTTCCTAACATTGTTGCAGGATATTTTATGAAGCTACATGTGGCACTGCTCTGATGTTGCACAGAAGGAGGCCGACCAAGATCTTTGTTAGGTGATGGGGAGCACACTGGGATGGAGTGGATAGGGAATGGGATACTGGCCAGCTTGGCCCTGCGAAGATGCAGCCTAGGGTCACATCCATCCGACACTCCGGCAGCTGCGGCTGGCTTGCCACGTGACTGTCGGCCACAGAACTGGCTCTGGTTTACCTGTTCGCCAGCCATTGCTCACCTCTTCCCACGCACCCCCCCCCACACTTGCACACACAGCCCTAGAGTGGCTTAGTTTTTTTTTTTTTTTTTAAATTTTGAAAGAACCTTCCCCCAAGCCCATTCTAAAATGTCAAGCGTTTCAGTTTTGAAGAAAAAAAAGCTGAAAACCCCGTGACTCATGACAAGGCGGACAAACAGATCTGTAGGTATGTTGGTGAGTCAGCCGAGCTCTGCTGTGAGGACCAGCGATGGGGAGAGCGTCATGAGACCAGCCAGTAAAATTCCACTACTCCCTGGAGCCTAGTGGGAGGTGAGTCGAAAAGCCTGGGCTTTTCCAGCCCCAGTTTCGTGTAGGACTCTGGGTACTCTCAGGTATGTCGATCTATCGGGGAAATTAGGAAGAATGATTACTAATAATGAAGAAACGAAACAAGAACACCCACATTATTATTTTTCCTTGCCCAGTGATGTTGAACCAGCCCTGCCTGCTTCTATGCACCAGCGAGGCTGAGGCTGCAGGATTGTCTTGAAGGGTATTGGGTTGCTAAGCAACAGCGCTGGCAGCATCCATCATGCCCAGCAATGTCAGCGCCTGAGCATGGCCGGCAGAGCTCACTCACCCCCTCCTCCGCGCCTTCCCTCAGGCTCCCCGCCCCCCACGAAAATGTTAATTTGCATCTTGGGGACAGGATTTGTGCCAGGTGATCCTGTGTAAAAAACGCCTTAGTGCCGTGTATGAAGCACAAATCTTGTTTTTGGTTGCCAGAGCATGTGACGTTGAAAATACAGACCTGTTTGTGCACGCGCCTCATATAAACAGTGTAGGTGAGATTGAAAAGTTGGCGTGTTAAATAATATGTCCTCAGCTGTGCTGCCTTTTAATCATTTCTCCTATCTGCCCACACGGCATCTTATCTATGCCCTGTTTCTCTCTCTCTCTCTCTCTCTCTCTCTCTCTCTCTCTCTCTCTCTCTCTCTCTCTCTCTCTCCCCTCTCTCTCTCCCCCCCCCCTCCCTCCTCTCCCCCCCTCCCCCCCCTCTCTGTCTTCTCTCTCTCTCTCTCTCTCTCTCTCTCTCTCTCTCTCTCTCGCTCTCCCCCCTCTCGCTCTCCCCCCTCCCCCTTTCCCCTCCCTCCTCCCTCCCTCTTTGTGCTATGGTCTCCTGGCTATGGAGTTATTTGTGTACAGGGAAGTGTAGACAAGATGGAACCTATTTCTAGAGGTGAGAAGGCCTTGTGGTTACGGTTGGAGGCCACTTTCACAAGGACGTTCACTGTGGTAGCTTTGCTCCAGAAATGCTCATTTTAGGTGGTGGGTCTCCATCAGGGTGCAGTCTGTCTGTGTCTTTTTCTTCCTGTCTGAGTGAACTGGTAAAGAGCCAGAGGTGGCAATGTGGCAGGCATGAAGAGCATCCGTTTTCCAGTCAGACAGACTAGACTCAAATCCTTTCTCCTCCCTCCCTCAACCTACTCTGGCATCTCAAGTCACTGTTGTGTGATTTTCCTGAGGGAGACATGAGCAAATGTCTATTCTCCCTAGACGGGGCACCACCAGCAAACTAGAAATCTTCCACTCAATTCTAGTTTGGTGAACCAGTGAGTTTACTGGGGTTACTTACAGGAGCATGGGAAGCTCAAAAGCAACTACGTCACCCAAAAGTCCTTCCTAGCATGGGTGACAACCCAGGAAAGCTGCATCCCTGAAGCTCTCTGTACAACTTGCAGGCAGTCCAAGGGAGTATTCTTTCCCCAGCAGTTGTTTACTGCTTGTATAACCTTGAGGAGGAGCCTTGTGATTCTTGTAGTTTCCTGATCTGTGTAAGTTTTGTTAGCTTCCAGAATCTTATGAATCACAGCTGAATCTCCGTTGGAAGGGCATTTAAGATGTCATCCGGCTCAGGAAGTCTAATTCTTTCACTTCTCCCTTGGAGGAGGACAGGCTCTGAATGGATTCCTGATCTGTACAGAATGATCTTGAGAGTACTGGGCTATAAGCACTTCCACAGATTTCTGGCCCAGTAGCCTTTCTTCTGAGCCCATTTTGATATCTGTTGCTTTCTTAAAATTACCCCTTAATATTGGGTTCTTCTAGTGGACTGATGCCTCTGCTCAAATAGCTCACAAGGCTAGGCTGGCTGGTGGAACCTTGGGCTGACTATAGGATTCTGATACTGTTCTTGCAGAGGACTTGAGTTCAGTTCCCAGCAGCCATATCAGGTGGCTCACAACTGCCTGTGATCCCAGTTCCAGAGGATCTCTTCTGGACTCCATGGGTACCCACATACATATACACACACAGACACACACAAATAAAAATAAAATAAATCATTAAAAGAGAAACATGAACCCTTGCTGGATAAATGGGATTCAAATGTTTTCTTGCTCCTAGCTGGCCATTTCACTTTCTTAGCAGTGTTTTTATTTGCTTCATTTTACATTGTGAGACAGAGCCTCATATAGTGCTCGCTGATCTGCAACTCAACTGTATAAGATGACCTTGACTTCTCTTCCTGCCTCCTCCTCCCGAGTACTAGGCTTGCAGTTATGTGCCACTATGCTGGATTTATAGAATGGTCCCAGGAATTGAACCCAGGGCTTCGTGCATACGAGGCAAACCCTTTATCAGTTGAGTTATATCTCCAGCACTTAACAGGGTCTTTTTGATGAACATATGTTCACAATTTTATTAAAAGTCCAATTTTCTGGGGCTGGAGAGAAGGCTCAGAGGTTAAGAACACTGGCTGCTCTTGTAGAAGACTTGGGTTCAGTCCCCGCACTCAAGTTAACAACCAGCTGTTACTCCAGTTCTAAGGGATCTGATGCCCTCTTCTGACCCCCGTGGGTATTGCAGGACACGGAAGTACTTACATACACATAGGCAATACACTCCTACACATAAAATAAAAATAAAGAAATTATTTTGGGCTGGAGAGATGATGGTTCAGTGGTTAAGAACACTGGCTGTTCTTTCAGAAGACCCAGGTTCAAATCTCAGCACCCACATGGTGGCTAACAACTGTCCGTAAGTCCAGTTCCAACTTTCTTTTGTCTTCCTCCACAGGCACTGCACAACACAGGTGCACTTACATGCATGCAGGTACTTCACTTATGCACATAAAATAAAAATAAATTAAAAAAATAAAAAGTTTTAAAAAATCCAAGTCTTTGACTTTTTATTTATAATTACAATTTTGTGTGGTCTGTTTAAGAATGGTTTGTTTGTTCCAAAGTACTGCAGACATTTTCCTAATAGTTTAAAAAATATTTTATGTATTTTTATTTTATGTGTATGAGTGTTATACCTGCATGTAGGTAAGTGCACCCATGTCGTGCAATGCCCAAGGAAGACAGAAGAGGTTGTCGGATCCCCTGGAACTGGAGTTACAGACAGTTGTTAGCTGCCATGTGGGTGCTGGAATTCAAATCTGGGTCTTCTGCAAGAACAGTCAGTGTTCTTAACCTCTGAGCCATCTCTCCAGCTCCTTTCCTAATAGTTTTTTAATCTTTCAGGTTTAGATCCAAAATCCATTTGGAATTCACTTTTGTAAGTGTGGATTTATTTTTCTGCTACACATACACACATGCACGTGAAGAGAGAGATTACTACGTTTTTATATCTAGATATCTATTTCCCCTTTCTCATCAGCGAACTGAAGATTAAAATCCATTAAAAGATGATAAAATCAGTTGGGTTTATTGTAATCAGTGTTTTTAAAATTAATTTATTTTAAAGGGAATGACAGCCATCATGGAAATGTAAATCGAAACTGCTTTGAAATGGGGTGTGGTGCATATGCCTTTATTCCCAGCACTTGAGAAGCAGAGGCAGGCAAATCTCTGTGAGTGAGGCCAGCCTGGTCTACATAGTGAGTTCCAGATCCTGTCTCAAACAAAACCCCAACTATTTTGAGATTCCATTTCACCCTAGTAAGAATGGCTATCATCAAGAGAACAAACAACGAAAAATGCTGGCGAGGATATGGGGAAAGAGGAATCCTTCTCTGTTAACGGGGGTGTGAACTAGTGCAACCATCTTGAAAATCAATCTGGAAGTTCTTACACGACTGAAAACAGAGCTACCATATGATCCAGCTATTCCACTTCTGGTGTATACCCAAAGGACTCTCTACCCTGCTACAGAGATATTTGCACATCCATGTTCATTGCTGCTCTATTCACAAGAGCCAGGAAATTGAATCAGATGTCAGTTGATGAATGCATGATGAAAATGTGGTACATATACACAATGGAATTTTATTTGGCTGTAAAGAAGACTGAAATTATGAAATTTGTAGGGAAGTAGATGGAATTTGAAAGTATTATGCTGAAAGAGTTAACCCAGGCCCAGAAGATAAACGCTGCATGTTCTTATGTGTGGATCAGGGCCTCAAGTTTTTCTATTTTTGTGTTTAACTTAGAATGCCTGTAGTGACCAGGAAACTAGAAAGGAATCATGGTGTGTGGGGAGATATGTAAGGGGTGTGGATAGTAGAATGCATGTGAAATCAAAGTAGAAGGGAGAAATATTGGGTTGATAAGCTTTAAACAGGGAAGCGTGTGGGGAACAGTGGCATAGAGGAGGAAGTGTGTGTATGTGTGGTTTAACCCAAATGAAGAATGTAAGAAGTCACATGAAAGCCTACTGCTCTAGAAGCTAGGAAAAAAATATTTTTAAAAGGAAGCATCCTGTTTGGGTAGATAATGCTGATCCCAGAAGCCATAGGTGGTGGTTAAATGAAAACCCCAGTGCAAGGTATGGTATTATTGAGTTATTGGTTAGGAAGGCCTCAGAGTGCATCCCCACAAAGAAAACAGACTGTTACCATTGCTGTCCATTGCCCATCAGAACTGGATAGTTCCACCAGAACTGGATAGTTCCGGATAGACCCTATTGCTGATAGGGTCCTTGGTTGCAGGACAGAGAAATTAAGCTGGAACTGACCTGGAAACTCTTTCCCTGATTATTATCCTACATAAGTGCTAGAAGGTGCTATGCTGACTGCTGGGGGAGGAAACTCATCAATGGTTTTACCCAGTTGTGGCCCCTGTATGCTACACTACCAACTGCCAGGCAAGCTGTGCCATTAGTGCAATAGTGGCATGGCTGTAATGGGGGATAACCAATTACTCATGATTGGATTTGAGTCCCACTCCATAGGAGTGCTTCATTTCAGTGCATTTTCAGCCACCTGCTTGAGACCCACCATCTTTGACAAGCCTTCAACTGGGCAATATTCCTTGCTGAGGGCTGCTGGTGCTGATGTGAATTCTCAGCTCTGGCACTCTACCCTGGCTCCTACTCTGAGGAGGCCA